TGAGCAACACATGCATTTGGAAAATATGTTGAACTCCCATGACCACTCACTGACTATTCGTCACTTTCACTAATTTTGAGCCTAGCTCACATCAAATGAAGCGATACTCTCTCTGTCAGGTCCATTATCTACACATGGCATTCCTTGTTGTTGTTGTTGTTGTTGTCTTCCTCCTCAGGGGAGGGGCTGCACACCCGTACACAGGAGCATGCAACCATTGACATGGTGGGGTCGCCAGACTGGGCTGGTTCATGAAAGATCCGGCTGGTTTGCCGGACAGCGTGAAAGGCAGCATATTTAGCTGCTAAAAGGTGATTGAGATCATGAAGTTCTCCCGCTCTGTAGCATGAGCGACTATTCAAAGGTCGAATCGCAATGCTGCAACCATGGAATAGACACTCCCAGAAGATCACTGAAGTGGTACCAATATCAAGAAGACGAAGTTCATCATTCGATTGTCTGCCCAAGCGTAGAGCAAGAGAGAGAGAGAGCGATAAACCTAGGGGAGGCTTATAGTAGAAAGGCTGTAGACCTCGCGTGGTTCCGCAATTGCAAAGGTAGGCCGTACATGGAAGGCAAACAATAAAACCAAGATCTCCGACTTGAAGAACAATGGTGCGTAGGCGAGGTTTAAAGCCGAGCTATTGAGGGAGGAGATTCCACGCAGGCAAGAAGCACAAAAGTTGATCAAGCCAGGCGCAAAGCCTAATGAACAAGAAACCTTGAAACATTCAAAGGCTACGGCTATGCGAACAAAATTGGGAGAGCAAATTGGGTGCTCTTACAGCGGTTGTTCTCGGAGACCGAGGGTCGTTCGGGGTCGTTCCATGAAGATCTCAGAGAAAAGACAAGGATTTGCCACCACCAGCAGAGTATAGAATACAATCAACGTTGGCAGAGTCAGAGCACGCCCATGATGTGATCATGAACAAAGACAAGCAATCGAAAGAAATTGCCACCAACTGCAGTTAGTCAAACACCGAGAAAGTAGCACCAGGCAAAGTGGAAGTCTTTGTGGTGAAGCTCAAGAATCATGCACCAGTCAAAGGGTCTGACAGTCTCGTCATACCGGGTAAGGTTGTCCACAGTGAGTAAGAGAACGTCACGCCCTAATTCTGCTAGCAGGACTGGAACCGCATCATGGCAAGAAAACCCACACGAGAGTATAGGAATTGTACATAAGACGAATGGTCAAGGATGAGAATCGGCTGCTCAAGCAACTGCCTGGTTTGCCACCAGGACACAAGGGAGTGCAACAGTTGTCAGACCAGTGATACTCGCTCTTTACAGCGACCATTGGCATCACAAAATTAGACAGGCTCTCATCTCATCCGTCGACGAGGTGGCCGCACTGCGAAATCAAACCGTTGCCATGCACAACGTGCATATCTTTGTTGGCCTATGCCCGGCTCATCAGCACTGACGGAATTTGTCAAAGGTCGTTTCCCGCTGTCAGTCGACAGCCCCCCTCCAGATGGGTTACACATGGCATTCCTTGATCCAACAGGCTCGCTGGGCTCACTGGGTTCCATGGGAAATGGTGGCCTCTCCGAGCCAGGAGTGTCTTACTTACCAAAGTCTATCGCTAGAGGACGGAGCAGGAGGCCGGTGCTTGGTGGTAGGACATATGGATTTACAGGTCCCATTCGCTATAGACAACTCTTACAAAGGTCTCGAAACTGTCCTGAGCGGACATGTCTGCCCCCTTCAGCGGACATCAATTCAACTCCATTGCTAGGCGGTTCTGGATGGGCAACCCGAGAAACAATCGAGACCCAGGGCGGGTTGTTTTCCTTTGACTGACTCTCTATTCCTTTTGTTTTGGTAGTGTAGCCACACGGCTAAGACTCATTCCATCGACATCTATTGTTTCTGGCAAAAGTCGCAAAGCGGTAGATAAATTATACGATGCAAACAAACACTGGGATGTGTGTGTGTGTGTGTGTTGAAACAGAAGGGTCCTGATAGACCTCTGGATGAAGGACAAGTAGACGATGTTTCACCCAGTATGTCCGATTGATTGAGGGGTCTCCCTATAATTGGAATTATGTCTCCAAAGAACTGCTGCTTCTGAATGTTTCTGACCAGCCCCGAAGGACACCCTCACCATCTCACTATCCATAAGGCAGACGAAGCCTCACGAGCCTCACGAAGGAGCTCCTCCAGTCCTGAGCAGAGCCCCAGCGGGGAGGTCATGGTACCCACTCAACTCCTGAGATTGTTTCTTCTTACACTCCCTTTTGCTGATCTTAACACGTAATAACTAAACAAACATAAAAACACCAAGTCACTTTAAGGAACACATTATAAAAGTCATGTATATATATATATATGTGCTTTCATCATCTCTTATATATATAACACTCCTGGATGACACCAACCATTCCCAGTGTGTCAGTGTTGCAGTTGTATTCGAGAACCAGCAACAAGTGTCTACTTCTTCTCAACCCTCTATAGGTGATCAGGGCATATCCGTTCTACCACCCCCACAAGTCAAGCGGGTCCTAGGACAGCAAAAGACCACCCCACCCACCCCGGTTTCTCCGGCTGTTTTTTCGCCCTTCCCAGCCCCTACTCTCTCGTCCCTCTCAGTCGAGTCTCCATGGACATCGAGTTCCGCTTCGGCCGTTTCAGCCGCTTCAGCCAGAAGCGATTCCAAAACACCGAGACGACCTGAGCGATGGCCATGGGCAGCCCATGGCCATGGGCAGCCGTTCTCTTCAGTGTTTGCTGGTCTTCATTCTTGTAGGTCAGCTGTATTCCAGTAGTCAGTCATAGTCAGCCACTCTTCACTCCACCATCCAGTTCCCTGGCTGGAAGTGCCAAAATATGGTGCTGCGTGGTTGTACCTCACTATACCTCGCTATTAGACACGTTCAGTATGGTCAATGGTGCGTAGTCATACCGTTGATGGACATTGCTGCCCTCGTTCTCCCTCGTTAACATTGGGACCACCACAGTGAGATAAACAAAACAAGTTGAACCTCCGAAATCCTGCACCACCTCCTCACAGGCATCGTGCCAACATTGAATGAGGGGGCGCAGGGGTTTGCTATGTGACCCTTACAGGGTAAAGTGGTGAGGTGGTGCAGGATTTCGTCCATCAACAGTAGCTCACCTCGACCAGTTTCTCATAATCCCCAAACACTCTATGCAAGGCATAGCATACATATGGGTGGTTGGAAAGGGGCCAGTGAAGGTATAGTTCAGTTCAGTCATGTTCAGTCACCCTTCTCCCTCCAGGGATCTGACACGGCGGATCGGGAGCTTCGCCCGCCTCGTGGTGCGCAGCGGTGCCGCGACCGGCGCAAAAAGCACAAACCTTCTCAAAGAAGTGGAAGAACCAAGCTGGCATCCTGGTCCATATAGTTTGAATTGCCAATTATGTTGCAACAACAAACAACAACAATTGATCAAGTGTCTTTGGTTGTATATACTGGCAATTCTGTTTCATGTGGTCAACCAGTTCAAGATGCCCCTTCCCAACGAATCTCAAAAACATCTGACACTGGGTGCCACCTGGCGGCTGGCCACGGCTGGCAGCTAGCGCAAACGCTTCGATCCACATGCTGAGGCTCGGTGTGTCGGTGTCAACTTTCATCGTGGGTTCCCCCGAAGGAAAACACGACACAATCGGCGCGTCCGGCGGCTCCGAAACGCTTCGGAACCCGATCTGAAGGATCTGCAGTTGATCATGGTAAGTTGGAATTCAATTTTGGGAGATCAGAATCTTCCATGATGGGCACGTCTAAGGGTCCAACAAAAAGGGTTCCACACCCAAACTTACATCCATCCAATGAATCATTTCTTTTCATGGAGTCTTTCAGAGTGTCCCATCTGGGGGTGTTGGGGGGCTGTGGGGGTGGTGTTTGGGACTGCTGCTGGTGGCAGCAGTTGCCGCAGCGCTGGACCCAGCTGTGGAGGACAAGGGCTTAAAACTTTTTGGATGTGTTTAGAAGTTTGGGCTTGGTAGGAATTTTGAATGTAGGCTTCAGGATTCCAATCTGATGTTGGCTTTGCACACTGGTCCCATCTAGGACTGGCTATGGATCTCCTGCTGGGCAGGTGCCTTCCAGGGGTTGGACGTGTGTGAAGATAGAAGATCGGGCTTGTGTGAGATAAGTAAGTACCAAGCATCCTTTGATCTTCCATAGTTTGAGATTGCTCAAAGAAGTGTTTTGCAGAAGCTTTTGCTCAACTGCCATAACGTCACCATCGTGAACCAATTATGACCATGGAGCTTCCTCCGGATGATGAGTTTGGGCCAGTGGTTGAGCCACAGCTACAAACAGTGACCCCATGCCGCAAGCGATTGGCTTTGGAAGAGCTGCAGCATGATTTAATTCAACAAGTTTCTTGCAGTTGGTCATTTGTTGATAATGTTGATATAAGTTGGCAAAGCCAAGTGAGTTTGTTACAGTACCTATCGTCTTGCATGCCTTGCAGGCATTCGCGGGAGAAAGGGCTCGTGCAACCTCGCCGGAAGCCTGTATGTTGCTCCAAGAGTTGCCTGCCTTGCTTTCATGCCACTCCCAGTCGGTCGAGGCATTTGGAGGACTCTTTGTCCTTGCTTCCAGCAGGTTGTTTTTTTTTGCTATGTGTTTACTTCATATGTTTTTGTGTTGAGTGTTTCTGGCCTACAAGGATGTGTTGGCCAAAATGGACTCTATGAATCAGCAGGAGGTCAATCAATATCTTGTTGGCCTTCTTGGAAGAATGGAGAAGGCCCTGTGTTCCAAAAACGATCAAAGAGGTCTGAGTGGGGAGGGCTGTCTGAATGGTTGAAACATGTCATGAGGCAGGAGGATTCTAGTGCCCTTGTGCAGGTTGGCAATGGGCAGATCAAGTATAGCTTGGCTGGGTTTCCACTTTGCCGGGAAGCATTCTTGCAATTGCTTCAAATCAATGGCAAAAGGGTGCCATGGCTGAAGCAGCACACAAGATAGCAGTTTGGGCAGTTTGGGCTACAAATGTGTTGAAGTGGTTCAATGGTTTGACCAATGGTCAATGGTGTTTTAGATTCGCTGGGTAAGGTTGACCGGCTGTTGCAATCTGGTGGCATTGATGAGAACCAATGCCCTGTTGACAAGCGCAAGTACAATGGGCCAAAGGAAAATCCCAAATCTGACCATGTTGATGCCTTCTTCAATTACTTCTACTACAATTTTGCACTTTGATCATATCTGGCAAAGGTTTTATTTCTGCAAAGCCTTCATGTGATCTGCTCTTTTTGGGTCCTAATGGCTTAGTGTGCTCCTGGAAGTGAGGCGGAGACCCTGGCAGAAACTCCAGCAGTGGAGAGTGACCCCTATGTTGCGCAATTGCACTGCTCTGGTGTGATGCTCCCAGGCGAGAAATTCATTGAACCGCTGGTCCAAGCAACGTTGAATGCAACATGCTACCACTAGCCCATTCAAAACCCATCCTCTAACCATTGGGTAAACTCAAAAAACTGTTTGGTTAAGTCTTGTTTTGAGGAGTATGAGTGTGTGAAAGCTTCAGCGTTGATGGAACAAAGTCTTGTGGCCCTCCAGGTGATTTGAAGTCGGCAGATCTTCCCCGAAGCTTGCTTGGTTTGGAGCCACAGCTGTTGGAGTCCACTCTGGCCAGTTCTAATGCTGTGGTGGGATCTGGTCATGGAGGCATGATGAATGCCAAGGGTTTCTTGGTTTGGAGAAAGCAAACATGTTGTTCCTTTTGGTGTGAAATCCCTTTGGGGAAATCCTTTTGGCTGTTGAGCTTGGGCTTGTGTTCCTATCCAGCAATGCTCCTCAGGCACGCTTCAAACCCGACACTTCAATCACATGACCATGGAGGCGTTTTATCAGCAGTACATCTTGTGGTGTGACAATGAAGCGAATGGGATTCCTCCAAAGGAGCGGGCCAGCAACCGGACATTCAGAAATGTGTACCAATCGAAGTGGAGGTCTTGCCTTGTCATGAGGGAGGTCAACCAGCATGCTCGGTGCCTTGACACAATAGAAGTGTTTTCTCTATTCTGATGTCTGACCTGTCTTTAAATCTCAATGTGTTCAACCTGTTAATGCCCACTGGTTGGCCAACCATGGTGTGGACAATGACAGTGTATGCCCCATGGGTAGTCTTGTGACTCACATGCTGAAACAAAAATATGTTCTTGCATGTGTAGTGTAGTGGAGCTGTGGATGTGATGAAACAAACGCCTTGATTTGCTGCACCACCATTTCCTCATGAGAGGGTACCTTTTCAATGGCAATACTGGTTCAGAGTCAGGTGCACTGCCTGTGCAATGTTCAGTGCAAGAATTGGGCAAGTTCATTCTCAGGATGAGCGAGCCCAATTGGAAAAGAGCCAGGCGGAGCATTTGAAGAATGTGAGAGCTTTCAGGACTATCCAATCTCGACTTGCAATGCTCTCTGAGTCCAGTGTCAACAAAGATAGCTCAGGCTCAGGTGGTGAAGCATCCACGTTGCTTGTGGCAATGGATGGGTTAGACCAATCCAAAACAAGGTGGCCGCGCAACTTGAAGTCCGCCAAGTGTTTGGATAAGCTGTGGCGCCCACAGGTCCACCTGGTTGGCTACATCGCCTATGGAGCCACTTTGTTAGCACACTAAGTGACTCTCTTTTTGAAACATTGGGTCCTGGCTACAACTGGGTTCAAGAGTGAGAGTGTGTCATCAGAGTGATTAGTGGTGTTTGAAGGTGTGCCTTGTTGGTGACATCAGGTTGCAGATGGATTCTTTGTGCTACCAGCTGACATTCCAAAAGATTCATCTACAGAGCTTACTTGTCTGGAACGTATCCTTGACATTTGCGCTGATGCCCTGGGCGGTGACCTTCCGGAACACCTAGTTATCGAGGTGCCATTCCCAGCAACAAAACCTTAATATTAAAAGGCTACAAAGATATGATACTAGCTAAAAACATGTTTGTATGTATAAAAATATTGTTTATATAAATGAACATGCTGTTTGAACATTTCTTGAAACCCTGCAGACAGATAACACTTGCCGTGAAGGCAAGAATCAAGTGATGGCCAAATGGAGTGCTCTTGCAGTGGCTCGCTCAAAGTTTCTGGGCACAAAAGCAGTTCCATCCATCAAAACAAACACACAAACAACACACCTGGTGGAAAAGGAACACCTTGCCTTAGTGATATTTTGTCTTTTGGCTTGATGTGCCAGATGCAAGGTTCAAAACGGTCACCCACATCTTTGCAGAAGTTGGACATACTCATAATGCAGTGGATCAGAGGCTGTCCATTGCATCCACAGTGTTTGGGAATGAGAGTGAGATCCAAACACCGGAAGATTCTGGGTGATTTGTTGGAGAGTTTTTCTGGCAGTTTATTGCTTGTCCCAAATCCATTTTAGGAATTTCCACTTGATGTTCTTGTTGCTTGGGCCTCCTTGCCAAGGATTTCCTGGAGATCTTGAACCTGAAGGTGACGCCTGTGAAAGGCAGGCAGCTCCAGAATGCAATGCTTGAGGGTGCCTTTGACTACAAGTCATGGCTTGGCCAACTTGGTCTTTCGATGACAGGGCTTGTCCCCAATGCGCGGGCAGTTGACAAAGATGAGACACGAGTCAATCATTGCTGGCGCTTTGTGAGGAGATGTGACTCTTATCCTGGCTGATTTGGTATTTCATGTCAAGTTTGACCTTTATTTGAGTTGGGGAAGTCAAACTATCCCCCCGGTACTTGGTTTTATAATTCTGTTTGTTTGAGCCAGTGGACTCTCAGGATCTCCCTGACCATGATCGAGAGAATGGTGAGCCATGGACCCCACTGGAGATTGAGACTGAGGTGCTGGTGTTGTGAAAGAGTGTGGAAAGTACAACATGTTGATGAAAGAGCTTTTTGCAACTCTATTTCAAGTTACTTTGACCTGGATTTTAAAGAGTTTGCAGGAGTATGTTCCAAGCCCAAATGAGTTGTGTTTTTTTGTGGTGTGGGGCTTATACACTGGGTCTGTACCTACGCGGGTGCCTACGCCTGGGCTCCCCTCTCAAGCAAATGCCTACGCGAGAGGTTCTCTTTGTTAGGTGCCTACGCGGGATGCCTACGCAGGGTACTGTCACCAACTTTAGTCACATCAGGTGACTCGAAAAGAGCTATATAATCCGCAAGTAGTGGCCCGATGCGACTGGGTCACATCAGGTTCCTGTTTACAAGGCGTTTACAGCTTTGCTACCGATGGCCAGATAGATTTTGTATCAAGCCGATCCAATTACAGTGTGGAAGCAGCAGCACATAAACAGCGCACAACAAGCAGCAAACAAGCAGCAGAAAACAAGAGGCAGCAGCAGCAGCAGCAGCCAAGCAGCAGTAGCAGCAGCAGCCAAGCGGCAGCAAAAGCAGCAGCCAAGCAGTAGCAGCAGCCAATAGCTTCTTGCCTACGCGCTGCTTCCGCGAGCGCCTACGCGGAGCCTACGCGAAAATAGGTCCATTGATTATGGTACCAACAGGGTGCGCACAGTTGTAGCTCAAGAGCCGGTGTGCCAGACCAAGCACGATCAAGCTTTTGACCTCAAAAACCAATGTGCCCCCATAGCTTCGACAAACAAACTTCAAACATCCACTGTAGCCAATTCGTTACAATTAATGTTCATTTTCCTTCCCCACTGGAATTTGCAAGCAAGTGTCAAGTTAGACAACTACAAGCCAACATTATCTTTCCCCAAGACCCTTGAACAACTTTTAAAGAAGTCTGAATAAGAAAATTCAGGCTTTCATGAAAAGGGTGCCTACGCAAGACTGCCTACGCAAATCTTTCAACACCCACCACCTACGCAAAATGCTTACACGACGCCTACGCCCCAAGCAGAACAGCCTCCGCGACTTCTCAACAGTTCCCTTTTTGTATAAACCTAATCATTTGCAAAAAAAAACGTGGCTCAAATGATGCTGTGCTTTTGGTGAAAGAGCTGGTGAACTCCACTGGACTATCCCAGCAACCTCTTGTTACGGTTCCGGAGGAGCTGATCTCCAGGCTGAAAGAGCCTCTGGGAAGTCTGCAGCGGAATGCCATTGCTGAACGAGCCAGGAAAGAGTTCATTGGTTGAGAAAGAAAACATTTTCAACTTTTGTGATCCCTCTTCTCATTCCAGCGGTGGGGGTGTGCAAGCCATTTTATATCTATAAAGTGCTGGCCCTTCAGAACTTCACTACAAAATACAGGGTTGTACACCATTAGGTCCCCACAAAATGCATTAACATTCAAGGGAATAAAAATCATGGACTGACACAAAGTGCACCACTATAAAATGGGGTCCCTATTCCATGTTAAGAATGCAGATGTGTTTGTCTGGAGGCAGCTATGATTTTGTAATTATAGTTCCATCTGGTGATTTTTAGCTACCAGGTACCATTTTATAGTACATTAATGTGTTTCATAACTATACCAACCAATAGATATATACATAAGTCTGCTGTGTTCATCAGCATCCAAAAGTTCTGGAAAAATCAAGCAAGCCAAAACATGTCCAATAGTTAAATATATATATATATGTAAGCAAAGGTCATCCAAGAAAAAAAACTTGCCAAATTATTTTGGGTCTGGTTGCTGTTAAAATGTTTGGACATAGTCTACTATAAAATGCTACCCTGCTATGGTGGCCTTGGGGGCCCATTGGAGAATCTTTTGTGGATGCTGGAGTGGTTGATTACTGGGGACAAGGGAATGTGTTTTTGTGGTGCCACTTGTCACTGAGGTTCCTGCGCACAGCTGATGTTGTGGACCAGGAACCATGGAATTTAGATCGGGCAGCTGCTGCACTTCGGGATTGGGTGGAAGCTGAGCAAGAACTGTGTTGTTGATGGGGAATGTTTTCAAGTTGCAAGGATTGTTTTCTGATGTTTTCTGAGCTAGCTATGCGTGAGATTGGACATGTCATCTGAGGACATGAATGACAAGGGAACTTGGCCAGAGATTTCTCCACCAGTGTGGATGATGTCAACGGCAACACGCCCCATTGGCATCAAGCCAAACCCATCAGGGTTGCTTGGATGGGTGTTCAATTTCAACCTTTCCATAAACCTTTGAAGTCAATCTTCACCTAAATATCATAAATGGTCCTCAATCATGTCATTGTTGTTCAGGTGGGAAAAATTTGCACCTGGCCCTGTTCGTGTTATTGAGATTGATGGTGCTGCAGCCCGGCCAGCTCTAACAGGGAGGGGACGAGGACGGGGACGTGGAAAAGGCCGAGGACGTGGTGTGGCTCATGTGGATGCTTCTGATGCGATTGCTGAAGTGAATGAGTCAGACCCTGCCCAGCTTGGTGCTCTGCCCAAAAAGAGGGCTAAGGCCAAGGCTAAAAAGCCAACTGCCGATGGAGACCAGGATCACTTCGCTGGTGTGGTTCATGAGCAGCAGCTTGTCATCCCACCGCATGTGGAGGAGATCTCAAACCCGGAGGTGGATGTTGCTATGGAAGCATTAAATGCTGAGGGTGCAATGGATCCTGGTGCTGAACTCCCTTCACCCATTGAGAACCAGCTGGGCTGCCCTCGCTGTTACTTGAGTCCTTCAGGCTGTGCTGTTTGCAAGAAGCCTGGCTACAAAATGCGTGTTACCCGTGAACAAGCCATGGCCAAGATCCGGGAGCAACTCCAAGCTCGAAGTGACAGGCGTGTGGCGGCAGCTAAGGCCAAGGCAAAAGCCAAGGCCAAAGCATCAGTGAAGAAGACTCCCAAGGCTCCAGGGCCAGGCAAAGCCCGTGGAAGGCCCAGGAAGTCATGAAGTATCTGAGTGGCAGCGGCAGTTGATATTTTGATCTGTGTTCCAAGATGATCGGATTGAAGATCATTGGATTGACGTTGACAGCTCTCAGGGGTGTCCCAATGGCAGGTGGCTTTGTGTTGGTGGTTTCCTGCTATGGTGTGAGTGTGGAACAAGAACATGTTTCCCAATGCTGTGCTTCCATCCACCTGTTTGGGCTGGGGTTGAGAGCTAAACAACGTTCATTCAGTTCTGCTCAATTTGGGTTTTGCAATGACCTGAAAAGCTTACCAAAGAGCTTGGCGCATTAGGGATTGAAACATTGGCTGGGTCCTTGCCTTTGAGTCTCAGATCATGCATGGGATGTGGGAATGACTTTCCAAGCTGTGTGGGACATGTTGAAGTCTAAGTGCAAGCTGCTTTTGCTGGCAGCTTGTTGACTATGACAAGCATTTTTTGACATGTCACTGCAAGCTGTTTTTGCTTACAGTTTGTTGAAAAGAGTCCGACATGATCTGACATGAACTTTGACCTGCCCCCGGATGATGATGGGCTTGATGTTGCAGCTTTGTCCAGGCCAATGTCAAAGCCAGATGTGAAGCCAAAGGTGAAACCTTTCAAACGACCAAGTGCTGCTGCTGGTGCTATGCCTGCCCCAAGATTGCGGAGGTTGCGCTGCTTTGAGTCCTTGGAGGAGGCCATGGATGATGGTGTAGCCTTGCCATCTGATCTTGATGGAGATGAAGATGAGCTCTTTGCAGTGCCAAAGGCACCACCCAAAGTTTCCAAGGCAAAGGCTCAACCCAAGCAAAGGCAGAATGGCAGGAAGCAAGAAGCAGAGCCTGACCTTATGGATTGGGCTGATGAGCGTTTGAAGGATCCTGCGGCTAGAATCCCATCTATTCTGGAGATGCCAATGGAGGATCTTGCCCAGCAATGGCAGAACCCACGGCCACCACCTGGATGGGATACTCGGTGTGTGCTATGGGAGATCTACTCTGTACCAAGGTTTGGACCAGTTTTGCGCTCCCTAGGGGGAACTTCCAGAAGATCTTATGATCTATTGAATTTCTGGAACCTCTCAATGGACAACTACAGAAGGACGCTTCTCCAAGATGTGTCAATCCTCAGGCCATTGTTTTTAGCCTTGAGTCCTCCCTGCACTTTTGTGTGCCCGTTGATGGCCAGCAACTGGCCATGCATGCGGAATCACAAGAAGTATATGTGCTTGCAAGATGCCCTTGACCACATTGACCTTACGGCGTGGCTGGCAACTTTTCAGGTAGACACTCGTGCTTACTTTGGCTTTGAGCACCCGGACAAGTCATTGGCATGGGGCAGAGGGTCAGTGTCTTGTTATATGTTCAATCCATTGTGAGTTTGTGGGTTGGTTGCCAATTGAACCCTGGTGTGGCACAATGTGAAAGAAGTGTCCAACAATGACACTTAAACAATGCCACTGTAGGGTGTATTTAGGATGGTGTCATCCAACCCAAGCCAACTCAGGTATTGCAGCTGGAGGGCAAACGAGGAGTCCGTGTGGCTTGCTTTGACATGTGTCAATTTGGCCTTGTCAGTCCGGTGAGCAAAAAGCCATTGAAGAAGAGGACAAAGTACATGACCAATTGTCCAGAAGTTTTTGATCTGCTGGACCAGAGATTTTGTGATGGATCGCATGAACACCAGACAATAGAGGGTTCCGAGGGAGGTGTGAAAATTTCACACCATGCGCAGCACTATCCTGAACCCTTTGTCCTGGCAGTTTGTCAGGGTGTAATGCAGTGCAAGCAGCGATTTGGCTAGACAAGGCTAAGGGAAAATGAGAGATGATGTGCAGTCTTTGGTGTAGGAGTTATACACAATAGAGGGATAATGGAGTGCATGTGTGATATAAATATGTATATATATAGTGACTAATAACTGTTTCACCTTCTAGAGATGTCCTCCTTTGTTTCGCTGATGAGTCGTGCAGGTGCTGATGGTGTCTGCTTTACCTGTCATGGCCTCGAGTGCGGTGGAGCTTTGTGGGACTAGGTTCTGTAAAGCTTTCTGAGTTACTGTAAAGCTTTGGCTTCTGTGTTGTTGTGAGGTTGGGTTGAGGATGAGCACGGGTGACTGGGTAGACAAGCTTTATATATATATATATGTTCCCCTTGAAACTAGGTAATCAGTGGTCAATCTGAAAACAGACTTTTGGCTCAGGTTCTTTTGGTGTGCTTTGGATAGGCACAATTCCAATAGGAATGTCTCTAGTAGAACGTAGTGTGCATTGGGTAGAATCACACCAAATCAAATCAGCTTCCCTGGTGTGTCATTCATGCTGGAATTCCTGGCTGTGTAGTACTACTTCCGGTGGACGTGATTGATTCACTTGATTTAGGGGGCTTGGAGATGGAGTTGAACCGAGGTCTTCATGACTGGACTTGAGTCCCTGGGCTGGGGCTTTTCTTTTTAGTGAAGCCCTCCAACAAATTGGTGAGACTGAGAGTGGAGCATTTCCCCCTCCTTGTGCAGTTCCCCCGCTTACTTGTACATGCAGCCCAAGGTCAGGGGCTTGGGATTGGGAGTTTTGAGGGGGGTGCATCAACTCTTGAGGCATTTCCCATGGTACTTGTCAGACCAGGAAATTTGCAGGAAGGTCGGCTTACTTAAATGCTGCTGCTGCTGCTCACTTTTCTAAAAGCTCCTGAGGCCAGATGGGAATCTGCAGGGGGCCTCACCTGAGAAGTGGAGTTGGGTGGTTCTTGGATCGTCTGGCGGTGGATTTGGGGGGACCACTCGGCTGAAATCAGATGATCTCGGCGGATCTGGCATGTAGACTTACCGGAATTGGATGCATAAAAAAGTGCAGACTCGAGAATCTCAACATTTTTTCAGCAGAACTCAAGTGTAGAAATTGTACACCTGAGATCGGCTGAAATCATCTGATTTCAGCGGATCTATTATGTGGAGCACTGCTTTCAGCGGATCTCCACTGCAGAAATTCTGCATCAGAGTTCTGCTGATTGGTTACCCACACCTCTAAGATCGGCTGAAATCATCTGATTTCAGCGGATCTCCACTGCAGAAATTCTACATCAGAGTTCTGCTGAAAGCATAGTTTGAGATGGAAAAGTTTTCCAACTTTTTTGGGACCCATCAAAGTTATGATTTTATTGATTATCTGTTTTCAGCGGATCTCGATTTCCGAGGATCTTGATTCCAGTGGATCTGCACTGCAGAATTCTCACCAGTTTGGGAAGCGTGACTATATTCAACATTTGGGGCCCCAGTGTCCTGTGAATTTGTTTTGTGCCACAGCCATTTTCCAACCTCCAGCTTGGACCAAGTCGTGATGCGAGATCTTGATCAGGAGGAGCCATATGATCCCGAAGATGAAAGGGTTGGGACTTGGGAAACAAGTGCTTAATAGAGGTGCATAGAGGATGGTTTCATGTTTGTGTTTTGAGGTGAACATACTGCTATATATAGAGACAAACAAATACTAGATATATAGGAGGTTCCATTTTTCTTTTGTTTCTACTGCTCCTGAAGGTGGACTCTCCTGCTGCTATGAGCACATACATGGACCCTACAGCGCTGGAGGTGGCTGATGATGGGGCAAGTCTTGCTCCAACAATTTCAACCATGGAGACTGCACTCAGTGAAGTTGTCCTTACTAACAGGGAGAAGTTGTTTGACACTGCATTCCAAGAGTTCAAACGCTGCTTTGCTGTGCATTGGCATTCAGTTTGATGTTCTCGGAGTAAACTAGCAAAATCTAAAAGGTTCACCAGTAAAATCTAAAGTCAATGGGCTGTTGACCAAGGCTTTGGAGGTGTGCAGCAATATTTGCAACGGACTTGTACCCAGGAAGATATGACAAAGTGCCTGCAAAGCATGTTGCCCTTGCAAATGCATGTGCTTTATGCATCAAGCCACCCACTTCCAGCTTGCTTCCCTGGACTCTTAGCTCACTCTTTGGGTGATTTTGGTTTGGTCCAGTGACCAGTCCAACTTGCTTGGTTTAATGTGTTTGCTTTTTCCCGAAAGCACCTGCGAAGGGTTTTTCCTTAAGCACTGCTGCCTATTTCATCTTCCTTAATCTCTTTCTCTTACTTCATCTTCCCCACTCTCTCTTCCTTACTCTCTTTCTCTTACTTCATCTTCCCCACTCTCTCTTCCTGACTCTCTTTATCCTACTTCACCTTCCTTACTTCATATTCTTTACTAACTTTCTCCTACTTCACCCTCACAACATCATCATCTAATCATCACCTCATAGGTTATCTCATATCACATCATCTAATCTCATATCATATCATATTATATCATATCAGGTTATAATATCATATCACATCACATCAATGTCATAACACATCATATCATATCATGTTTTAATATCATATCACATCACATCAATGTCAGATCATATCATCTCATATCATGTGATAAAATAATATCACTTCACAACATAACATATGAAGTAGAAGTATCAGATCAACAATATCAAAGTACATCAGAAGTAGATATTGATAGGTAGGTATTGATAAGTGGGTATAGACAGGTAGGTGTAGGCAGGTAGGTGTAGATAGGTAGGTGAAGATAGGTAGGTGAAGATAGGTAGGTGTAGACATCTTCCTTAAGACACCTACCCAACTTCACCTACCCAACTTCTTCTTTATTCTTCTCTTTAGGCGGCGGGGCGGTGCGAGCAGGTCTTACGAAACGCAACCCTCTCGTGGAATCGTGGCCATCGATCGCGCGCGCGTGTGGTGAGACGCGAATCGCGTTTGCCCTCGAGCAACCCTCTGCGGAGATCGTGCGTGTCGAGTGCACGAACGTGTGGTGAAACGTACATTTTGTCTGAGCGCGGCTGGGCGCACCATTATAATTCTGGTCACAAGGATGTCGCCAATGTGCGGTCCGGACCGCATACTCATTGGGAAATGCGATTCCAAGGTCTGTGCCCGGTCTGTGCCCGGATCGTTCCCCCATTATAGTTCTGGTCGCAATGATGTCGTGAATGTCAGCTCTGAACTTTCTACAATGCGCGCTCTGGACGTCATACTCGTTGGGAACCGCGATTTCATGGTTTGTGCTCGGATCGTTTCCCCATTGTAATTCTGGTCACAACGATGTCTCCAATGTGTGCTGTGGACTTCATACTCGTTGGGAAATGCGATTTCATGGTCTGTGCCC